GTTACTGAAAGATAAATTAGTCCCGTGTCGCTCAGACCAGGACGCTAATTGTGAAGCATTTGAGTATCCTTTGTGAGTAGCTTGCTTTTAAAACACAATTAGTCTTTCTTTAAGAATACAATGTTTGTGGCCCAGGAAAGGAAGTGGACGTCGTGGTAGCAGGCTGAGGTCCCAACGCAGCGCCCAGATGAGCAGCAGCTCCACTGGGAGCCGTGCAGCCGGCTCTGCCCCATGGCCCACGGCGAGGGGTGGCCGCGGGCACAGCCGGGAGCCGGCAGGGCTCGGGGAGACGTGCTGTGTCTCAGGGCTGCCACGTTACTGGTGGGGAAGCGGTGGTGCAAAGGGATGGACGCCAAAGCAAGTGGTTTTAGCAGAGGCGGGAGGGAAGAGTTGGGCGTGTGTTGTGCTGTTTTCAGCCAAACTTCAGAGGGGCTCAGAGAAAGGGGTCACGATTTCAGAGGGGTCTCGGTCCTCCAGGTTGTGTCTAGGCTCTGGAAAGCGCTAGCGGCTGTTTGCTGGCGTAGCCTCTTGTGTCAGCAGCCTTAGGTATGACTCAGAGTTAGCCTGGCTCAGGCTGAGCGTTGCTGGTCTCCAGTACTGCTGACTCTGTCCTTATCTTCCCTTTCCTGGTTCTCCCATCCGCAGCCTGGGACCTGCAGAAACAGAAACTACCCTTCAGGCTCCAGCCCGCCCTTCCTCTCAGCGCGGCCGTCCCCCTCCCTGCGCGTGGCCAGGCCAGCCTCAGAAGTGGAAAAAGTCTGGAGACTCTTTGTGTCCCCAGCCCTGTCCTGGTGGGGGCCAGGAGTGACTCCTGTGGGTGACGCTGCTGCAGAACCGGTGTGAGCGAAATCCAGGGCACTCTTCTCCGGGTTCATGGTGTGCAGTTCAGGCTCCCAGGAGCATCGAATGAGTCAGAGAAGCACGTCAAACTATTCAGAAAATTGCAGCGGAGAACTGCCAGTGCCTAACTGTTCGTGGGGTTAGGGGATGTTCTCCCTCTGTGCTGGGGAGGGACCTGTAGACGTAGTAGAGGTAAAATGCTTGGTTATGCAAAGGCATGCACCGTTGATAAATTCTGAGTGCTGACAGCATCCCTAGTACAAAATAGGAGCATTAAGAAGGGGCATTGAAATTCCTGAAAGGCGCGCTCAGGCAGTGCTCTCGCACGGTGACTCTGGCGGGAGGTGCGGTGACGTACCCTGGCCGCTGCCGGCCCCAGAGCCACGTGTGGTTCTGCCGGCACGGCTGCTGCCTCTGCCTCTGCCGGCAGCGCTCGCTGTGACGGATGGGTGGCATTTCCAGGGCAGGCAGGAGGGAGGAGATAAATTTAAACCCGGCAGATTATTAGGTAACAAAGCCAAGAGTGCCCGGCACTGTGTATTCCTGGACCGTCAGGGCCCTAAAATAGCACCAGTGCACCGGTCAGGAACGCTGACCCTGTTTCTATGTCCTCCTGTGACAAGATTTGCCATTCTGTCCTGCTTCTGCTGGCACTGCTGTCGTCCTCCTTTACGGTGTGCCGCCCCGGTGGCTTGGCCGGGAAGCTGAGGTCCCCGCTGTCGCGGCGTGGGGCCTTTTGGCGGGCGGCATGGTGTGGGCAGGGTGAGGTTCCTTGTCCTTGATTCAGTCCTCAGCCCCTTTGAGGAGAGTGTCAAGAACTGAGTGGAAATTGCACATAATTTCGGTGCGTGCCTGCCGGTTCAGCTGTCCCGCCAAGCCCACAAAAGCGCCCTAAGCCTTGCAGGTTTCTCCACGCTGCGCTCGCAGGAGCTCACACACCGAGTGCAGCGCACGTGGAGGAGTGAGCCACGCGTGTGCCGGAGTGCGGGGCGCGCTGGCTGCCGCTCATCGTCTGTATCTGTGAAGGAAAGAGGGTGAACTTATTTCATGCAGAAAAACAAAGAGCTTTAGGGGGCTTTTTTAAAGCGTGTCTCTAGTTTGTTTGCAAGGTGTGAGTACGAAGTGAGCAGGAGGTGGAGATCTTCATGGCTCGATGGAGGCGTTTCTCTCCTAAAGCAGTGTGTGTGTTGGGAAGAGACGGCTTAGAGACCCTTCAGCCCTCTCACGGGCAGGAGGGGTCGGCAGTGTGGTTCCTGTTTGCCCGTGGATGAGTCAGACACAGAGGTCAGTGGCTCACTGGCGTCAGATTTTGGCCAAAAAAAAATAATCCTTGAAATAAACTCCTTAGCTCAAGGGAGCTGAAGATTTGCAACACCAAAGGCCTTGTTGGAAGCTCGTCAGCAGCCCGAGGGCTGCACCTGCTTGGTGGAGACATTTACATAAATATTTCTGATCAGTAATGCATGCTTGTAACCTTACTTTCCTGTTCTTTCGGCTTCCCTGATGAATGAAGATTACTCACTGTAGGGATTTCACTGCCGGCTCCTGCGCGCACGCTGGAGAGCACTGCCATCACCGCAGACCTCGGTTGCAGGTCTCCTGCCGCGGTCCTCTGCTCGGCTGTCGCGACGTTGCTGCCAGAAGCCATCGCCGGAGTGAGCTCAGCACGGGCAGGTTCTGCTCTCCCCGTCAGACCTCGGGCACTGCCAGGAGCTTCCATTAATTGCCACCTTTGCCGCTGCCCTCCTCTCTGGCACAGTGCTGTTCTACGTCTGGGCGGACGCTGCGCGGTCTCTTGTCCGATGTGTGCCCAGCAGGGGCTGGCGCTGGGTCGGTCCATGGGCTGCTTTCCCTCTCCCAGAGGCTGGCTACCTGTGCCGCCCTGGTGCTGGCCACGTGGCCGAGCACGCATACAGAAAACACGATTAGTCAGCAGGTCACCGGGGCTGAATTTCCTCATGTGTCCTGTGCCAGGGCCATCCCGTTGGCTCTGGCTGCAAACCAAGCAGCAAAGTGGAGCAAAAGAATTGCAGACAAAGGGCTTTTATTTATTAGTTATTAATGTTGTTCAATTGAAGCAGTCTGAAATCATCGGTAGCTAAGATTTATGTTGTTTACATC